TCCACCTCCACCTCCACCTCCACTGCAATCGTCTGTTCACCAAATTGAGTTAGTTTGACTGAACGACGCGCCAATGATCCAGTTTTGTCCTTTAGCCTCCTCAAAGGCGCACAGGAGGTGCGCTTGCGCAAGCGTCTGAAGCCGGAGTGTGGCGGTGAGCTGCAGGAGTTCTGCATCGAGGATTTCGACGACTTCGAGGGCATTCAAGACGAGGAGACCTTCTTCACCAGCAGCGAACGACAAGTCATCGTCCGGTACTACTTGATGAGTCTGCGTGCCATGGAAAACGACGCCTGGGATGACCACATCAAATTCTCCCACGGCCAGGCCATCAGTAAGTACGTGTGTGTGTGTGTGCGTGTGTGTGTGCATTCCGACGAAATCTACCGCAGATTTTCAAATTCCCGCGTTCTCGTGATTGGTTGGATTTTTAATCGGTGGTAACGCGCAGTTTATGGGCTGCAAAAATAAATCGTAGGTTAGGCGATGTTGCGATTTGGTGTAGAGCTAGATTGCACCCTCCTCGCCAGATCCGATCCACACGGGAGACGCGAACAGGCCGCGTGCGTGCGTGCGTGGCACCATCATTATAATCATTACGACGTACGAAGTATTTCGCGTTTGTAGTGCCAGTTCTTCTCGCAGCGGGCAAAGTCGCCACCATATTCCCCCTCCACGACCGCAACGCCCTCTCGACGCTGCACAGCCTCTGGGTGCGTGGATTCACCCACCGCCAGCCCCTCGACCTCGTGGCCGAGTACTTCGGGGTGAAAATCGCGCTGTACTTCGCGTGGCTCGGCCACTACACCACCGCCCTTCTCTTCCCCGCGGTGTTCGGCCTCCTCTGCTGGGCCCTTCTGCCTGCCGGGGTGAGTCTCCACTACCACTACTACTAGTTGGAGTATTTCAGTAGTAGATGCCCTAGTTGTCAAAATTGCGCATTTCGACTTGCAATCCACCACAAGCGGTTTCATCGATTCTGTTCAGCAGTTTAAATTCCCTGGTAGTTCAACTGACGGTGTATTGTCAAGATGGCATGGAATTCTGCCAAAATGCACGGGTAGAACACAATGCTAGTAGAAAGTGGACAAATTGACAGTTTTTTTTCCGAGTCACGTTGATAAAGACCTCTTGACACGCAGGTAGTGGACACACACACGCCAAATACGCAGCTACAACGCCACGCATCATTTCACTGGCCATGGCGGAACGGACGCGATAGCCAGAAACCTGACGTGCATCATTGGTGGTCTGGTTGTCCGAATGAGGTATTTCGTGGCAAATGTGTTCAGTTGCAGGCGTCGTCGTCGTCAAGACCCCGGTGATCTCGTGGTCAGAAAAAAGTGCAGGCGCCCGCCGTGCGCACCACACCGTCGCACGAGGTATTGAGCAGCGCACTTGCCTTCTCAGCTGTTTCGCACTTCACTCACGTCCTTTTCTGACGAAATGCGACGTCGCCAAGCGATCGCTCAAGACAGGGCTGTGTGGCGTTGCGTGGAGCAGTCCTTGGGCACATTAGGTGAGATGCCGACAACGGTAGTGTGAAATTGCGTGGTCAAATTCCATAAGCGAATTTGAACCAACTTGGTTCTTTGCTCGAAGCTGTCTGGTTGTTCTACTAGCAGGAGAGTTTGGGTGTGGGATTAGTTTTGAACCACTCGACGGTACCGTGAACAATAGACTAATTTTGGACGTAGTTGTGGTTTCTGGTGTTCTGTGACGTAGTCATGGTGTGTGTGGAGATCTGCGCCTGCCCTTGAACGTGTCCCTTCTCGATTGCCAAGTATTGAAATCCACCCATTTCGGCTTATGTGTAAAACAGACGAAAAACTGATCACTGGTGTGTTCTCCGACACGGTGCACGACTGTTTCCAGGCTGTTTAACCAGTTGGCTGGCCTGTTGTTGTTGAAAGTGGCTGGATCTCGTGTTGTGGAGGGTGGCATGTCAGTTCTTGCGGTTGTTGTCAGTGTCGACGGCGACTTGAGACGTAGTGCTTGAAGGCAAGTGGAAAATGTGGCAATCTGTTGAAGGGGAAATCGGATCGCAGTGGCAAGTGATGCTGTGGAAACTGTTCTTTCGAATTCCAGAATGGCTGGCGTCGTGAGTTTTGCAGTGTGTGTGTGTGTGATGTGGTGTTTTCAGTTTGCAGAATCACGTATTGCTGACGACTAGATGGTTCAAAGGAGGACTCAGACTAGCAGCGTGGACGTGCCAGTTGATTATGCGATTGTGAGGTCGCAAACGATCGTTTAGTTGTGAATGAAAGCTTGACGGTTGCAACATCCGTGATGCATAGCTGTGTGTGTGGAAATGGTTGTTCTGTTAGCCTCATGGTATTGCCTGGTTGTTCGTTCATGTGTTAAATCTGTACGTAAGAGCCGTTTTTTCGGCGCCATCGACAAGTCGAATTTTGCAGTACCATTGTCCGTGTCCACGGTTTTGTTTTCACATCCACGGCTCCATGGCTGCCTTCCACAGAACCTGGTCAAAAGTTGCCAGATGGCAATAGATGGTCGGCTTCTCGTCCGACCCCCTCCTCCTGGTTTAAATGTCCACCTGCCTTTCTAAGTGATTTCTTATGTTGTTCTTAATTTATTCTGATTGGCATCAGCCGATTAAATTAGACACATTTCCACTTTTGCATCAACAATGCCAGGCAAAACCGATAACATCATCTGCGCAGTGTACAGATTGTGTATTTCTAAGTACCCAGAACAATTAACAATCCACATGTGCAGTAGCAGGGCATCATCCTTGAGGTATGTGTACTGACACTACAAATTTTACGAATTCGGAACGTTTTTTTGGTTGCTAAGGCAAGGAAATTTCCTGAAAAATTTGATTCGATGACGTAGTAGTGTTTAACTTAAACCCAACAACCACCACTCATGTCGTGTGGATGTACACACACGCACACATGCATGCAACTCTTCCAACCAATGAGATGTCACCACAGACTGGACCAATCAGATGCCGGACAGCCGCCTCGCGTCCACAACGGAGACTCGAGCGCAGGGTCAGTCGGTGCAATCGCTCGATCACGACTAATACGACATTCCGGACTGTGGAGTTCCCCCTCGTGTACCCTCAAAATCAGTCACCAGCATGTCCTGTGCAATTAAATTCATGAAATTCATTCTCTTCTGCATCAATCTGATTTTTTTGGTGAGTTGACTGGTGTTTTAATTGGACCGTTTCTTCACCTCAATTCACCACTTTTAATTTGTCTTTCATCATTGCATTTTCTGCTTAAATAGCGCTCTATTTGCGTATTTTTGCGAGGTTTTATCCCACTCGTATTAATTACAACCAGAAGTTACTGATGCGTGTATTCTGCGTTTGAATCATAGCATAAACAGATAGTTTAAGTGAATTATTTAAGGATTTGGTGTCTGTACTCGGAGATATCGACTCAAAATATTTCTTAGTGGTGTTTCAACGGCAGATCTGAGAAGCCCTGATTTTCTTATGAGGCCTGATTGGGGATCAAAACAGGCAAACTGACCTTTTCTTGAGATGCATAAGAATGTTCTTGTAGGACTCTGCAAATACATTTAATCACCCCGTGTGAGGTCAGTTGTTTAATATCCCAACCAATACCATGACCTCCGCCTCCCCCACCACCACCTCCCCCACCATCTCCACCGACACCACCATCTGCACTACCACCACCTCCTCCAATACCACCACTTCCTTCGCTATCACCACTACCAAGACCAGATACCTTGGTGTTTCCACGAAACTTAACCAAATCACGTTGTCGCTGGTCTGATCCAATTTGACATGAAAATCGTCATTTTGAGCAAAATGTGGTTTTCGTGTCTCTTGAAAAAGCGATGTTTTGGCGGCCAGTTTGCTCATTTCCTTACCTACCGATGTAGCTGTCAAAGTCAACGTGGCTGCGACTGATAAACAATGCAAGTTGAAAATATGACGCCCACTTTTCCGCATTTTCCGTGCAAACTAAATTTGTCCCTCGTTTAGATGGTACATTGGCACCCACGGAAACAAATAAACACGAGTACACGCAGGACCTCTTGTGTGGCTTGCTGAAGGTGAGACGTTTTATGCCTAAACAGTAGACACACAACACTGGCCTTCGTGGTTTGCGTGACTGCCTGATTTGGCAACTCCCACCTACCATTCTACACACCTCAGGGTTGCGTAAATCCTATTGGCGGAGTCGTAGTAGAAAACCCACTTATTGTTGGCTCAGAAATGGTTTTGAAAAATGGGAAGGGGGTGTAGTGCTTCTCGTGCACGCGTAGCTCGTAGTCTCATCCGTCACACGACCTCAGAAGTACCTAATGTGGTACTTGCTCTCTCATCATCACCATTATCAGGCTCAAATTTGTGTTTTGTTCAATTAGATGGTCGTATTAGCCGTCTGGAATTGTTGTATACTACACATTTCATCGAGTAGATGGACGGACTCACGTGATATGTTTCGGCCACTGTTGCAGTGGTTTCGCACTTTGTCCAATCACACAGTTCAATCGATTTTTCATGTAGTTAATCTTGACGTTTGAGATCATCCGTCAACGCGTGCACTCATCTGATACCCTGAACTCGATACTGCGAAATGATCGGGAACGCTAAATCAATTTACAAGTTCTTCAGGGTTTGCATTTTTGTGAAAAATCGTTCTCTCTACTGCTCCAACTGAAATATATTAATTGACAAGCAATTTGTAAAGACGGTACATTGTACATTACCACATAAATCCATAAAATGACGAGATAGTGGCAGTTGTTTTAAAGAACCAGTTGCGAATTAGTCCAAATCTTGACGAAAACCACCACACAAATATCGTTTCAGCAGGGTCTAGTGTTTTATTTGGGTCACAATGTGCCAGAAAATGTGAAATTATGGCGGATTGGTGTCCAGACTGGTTGGAAAATTCGTCATTCTAATCTCTAAATGGGCGGTGTTGGTGTCTGACACCTCTACCACAACATTCCTTAATCCGCTTGCATTAAATCAGGTTCATTAATCCACACAAATCTGGTCACTTCTCGTTAAACACGCCACCTCGTCATGTGATACCGCGGCCTGTGTGTATCGCAATAAATTTTGGTACCTCTAATTGGTTTGTTTTGCGTAGATGTTGTTTACGAAAATTGAAATCGCCAAAGTCTTTTAATGTCTGCGTAAAAATTTTAATGAATGCTATCAGATCCTATGCTTGTGGCTCAGGAGTTGCCGGAACTAACACGTTCTTCTGAAAACAGTTATTCACATTTTCTTCAAAAGACGTGCAAAGTGTTGGCGTTTTAGCGCGATGCAAACTCGACGCATTTCCACCTTAAAATGCGACTTTGAGGAAAGGAATTAGCGTTAGGCGCTTAAGGGTGTGTGTGTGTGTGTTTGCTTTGTCTGGAAAATTTTACTGCCACGCTGTCTTCGTTCCGAAAGCTCAGATTTCAAATATGCCGCGCCTAGTGAGTCCAGTAAAACCTAGTTATCCCTATTGCGGTCGTGTGTCGATATTGTTTAAATTACGTCACGTGCAGGCGCGGTATTTTAAACGGTAAAGGAAAGGTTACATTCTGCTTCTGGTAGGTCACATGAGTTTTGAAAAGGGAGTACTTGTTGGAACCGCTGAAAGAAGTATTTGGGACGTTATATTGTAGTGTAGTCAATTTCAAAATGGCGACTTTCGTCTAGACGCTGAACTTTGCTCCGGCATTGTTACTGATTTAATGGGCGATTTCGTGAACCTCATAAGTAATCCATGGATTACTCACGGTTGCTGAAAGGCTTAACGTTCTTAGCTGGACGGCAAATTTAAAATTTGACGCAGATCCATAGATCACGTCGCATCTGACGATGGAAATTGTATTGTGAATGTGCAGATTCGTTGGTAATGTCAGCGTTGTCGCATCCCGTGGAAATTTAGTTAAGTTTCCAGCTACGTAAAGCTAAGAAATGCTATCTAAAACACCCAGTTTATTGTTAAAAGATTATGATAACGCTAGACAGCGTGTCGCACCATGAGTCAATCTCAGTTTTCCTCCAACCTCGCATCTCCAAATTCTTGCCCGTTTCGCTCCACGCAGCATCTTTTAAATGCCGAAACTAGGGATTTCAACGAAGTTCACGCGTAGATGACATCAGAAAACTTGTGAACCGCTTCGAAAGCGTGCTGTATGCAATGTGGTTTGCGATTGTACAAGAACATCGCAAGTAAACGTCTGTGTCGAATCAATTGTTTACCTACCACGCACTAGGTGTCTAGCACGAAGTGGGTTTTACAAGGCACAGTTTATCTCAGCCCCGAACGCCGACAGTCATCCGCGGTTTACGAAGAAGGTACACACTGATATTGCCTTGACGATTTTCGCACCGACAAAAAGGTGGTTGTCAACTTCGGCCAGATTGTTGTGGACCCCAGCATGTGGTCTTGAACCATGCCGGGGCCACGGAATTAACCCTGGCCTGATTACGTTTCCCTGACACCCGCGATGAAGAAAAAGACCGGAGAACACGTGGACACAACCGTTTACTTCAGGGCTCAACCACGTTAGTGTCGTGTGTGGGGCTTGCGAGTGTGTATTTGTACCTCGAATATGTGAGTCATACATGCGCTAACATCAAGACCTAGGTGTGGGGATACTCCAAGATGCATATTCGTGCTAATAAAAGGGGAGTTGGGGATCCACGCGGCCTGCGACATGCTGTGAAAAGGGGAACCCTGTGTCGGAGGATGGAGTGTGTATTAACACGATTCACTGCAAGATTTTAAAGTGCACATCTGTTGTTTTAATTGTTGATGACACCGAGTTTATCACTAGCTGGTCTTTAAAAGTGCCAACAGAAAACATGCAATAGCGTTGGTTGCCTTCAGTTCCAGTTTTTGGAAAAAACTTCCTCTGTTATAATCGGTGATGACACGGTGGAAATCGGGGTTGTCATTGATTGGTCAGCACATTACCTTCTCGCAAACTAGAATTGCTCTTCTGACCGAATTTCGTTGATTTCATCTCAAATCAGCCCCCATCAGTGGTTGAGAGGTGACACCTGCATTGATTATTTTGCCTCTCGTGGACACCATACATCGTTGTGACACCATTACATGACAAAATTGGGCAGCTACATTAAGCTTGAAATGTAAACAGCAAAAAGCAAACGATAAGTGTTCCTTGCCATCATATCAGGATTGATTTAAACCACTAACGATGCCCTTGCATGCGCCGTAGAATCGTGTTGGCGCACTTTTGCTACCTGCGTCGGCGAAATGTTACAATTTTTGCAACTATTTGCGTTGTTTTAGACTCAAATTTAAGTGTTTAAACGCTTTCAGTCTCTCTCCCTCTCTGCTTGACCAGAGAGAATCAATTTGACCGTAATCGGTGGCCGAAGGACATGGATTTTAACCCCACCATGCGCATAACTCTGCATTCCACTTATCATCTGAGACGTGTGTTCACCTTAAATCCGATCTGAATGTGTGTTGCATGCACCTGTCCAGACATAATTCACATGATCGGCACATTTAAACACACGCTAGTCACAATCACATGTAAACCGCGTGCACAAACTCCATCGATTTGTCTAAATGTGCCGTCAGCACAAAATCACACCCACTGACCACGGACACGTCCGTCGTAGTTTATGTTACCTATCGGCTATTCAGGTAGACAACAATTACGTCAAAACTGGACGTTTGAGGCGAAGCTATCTAGTTTGGAGCAAGCCTTAAACGAAAATATAATTTATTAAAATTTTAAACTTTTGTGAACGCAAATTACATTTTTAACAAAGCAACACAAAATTAGACAATTCCACGATATCTTATTGGTTTAATTTACCAAATTAACGTCCAGAGTTGGCCTTCGCGTTTTTAAACGGCGCGGATTTCGAAAAAGTTGAAACCATCAGAAATGTCTTTACGTCCACTAGCCTCAGTTCTCAAATTCAAGACAAATTAGCCGATTTTAAGAGAGATTTACACAGAGGGTTTCCAATTTTGGATTTCTTTTTTTTCAAAATTCGGTTTTAAGCGCAGACCGTCTTGACGCTGCTATTGAAACCAAATAGTTGCGCTTTTATTGGACATTTTATCTTGAAAGTTTTATAATTGACTAATCAGGAGATGGCCCCGCTCCTCCCAAATCAATAAATTCGCGTAATTTTCCATTGTTTTTGGATTTTTTTAGCTAAATCAGACAGCACGGATACGTTTATTTCAATTCACTTTAGTTTAAGAATTCCTGTCTTGTATTTTTCTGGAATACTTGGCAGCCTTTCTTGCCTCTAAATTATTAAAATCTCGTTGACCTTGAGAAACCTTCGTTGGCGATTCTGCCAATGAGAATTAAGAAAAGTCCTGCTCTTTTTATATAAATGTATTTATAAATTTATTAATTATCACAGCCAAATGCAGAATTTTCGGTGTAAAACACGAAAGAGCACGTCTTAGTTTTTTAAAAAAAAACATTTTTTGGCTGTTATGCGTGAAAAGCACTCAACAACACAGTCAACATGCCTGTCAAACCAGCTAAGCCCACGACACCACATCCTGTCAGTAAGACGGTTTCCAGGTAAACTAAAAATGCTGACATTCTGCTGGTTTTTTAACACCAAACTAACCACACACAAATTAGCCAAATACTGCATTGTTTGTAGTGTTGGAGAGAACTATTTTTACGTAATCCGTAAAAAAGAACAGACGAATTTCTGGTGTGCCAAACGAAAATGCTAATAAGTGACCAAAAAGTATAAATCCTTTTTTTTGTCAAAATCGAAAAGTCGTGTAACTTTGGTGCTTTTCATGTGGCGGCATAAAGCGACATTGATAAGGGCACCAACGATGCGTTAAACAGACATAGAATGGATTTTGCCAGCCAACGGTGGCACTGAGGTATACTATGTACCCCAATTTCATTGGTTAATTCGCCAATGAAAACGGCCAAGGTTTGAGCCCAGTTCATCTTAACTGTGATTAGATAATCAATAACTGGCCTCTAACTGCAAGTAGAGCAGCTGATCTAGGCTCGGGTTGAACCCTAGAGGATGATTTTAATTTTATCAGATTATCGGTTTTAGTTACACCAATGTCGATTCGACGAAGCGATGGCTTGTAAACACCGATCAATTGATTCACTGACTACTCGTTTACTTTGTCCACTAGACGGTGATTCGTTTTCCCACCTTCAGTGTATTTGAGAAATTTAATTTAGGAACTGTCCAATTTTTGGTTTTTGCACATCCCACACCAAAAATTCTTAGCTGTTTCGATTTTCGTGAAGACAAAATCTACTGTTAACAACCATTTTGGTGTCCATATCATTCATGACACAATTTTTGCGCCATCACCAAGCCTTTTTGCTCAATCGAATGCGTAACCAGCGCCAGTGTTGGCCTACATGCTGGAGAAAGCTTTTCTAGCAAGCTGTGTTTAAAAATAGACTTGGTGTTAACGTAATCAAACGTTCTTTTTTCACAATCTCCTGGTAGCTACCATTAATCGGCAGAATTTTCCCAGTTTTAGTTACCATGGCTCAAATTCTACCTCAGTTATATTTGACTATCTTCAAGTTTCATTACCAACTTCACTGTTTGAGACATAATCACTTTAGTTCCATCTAAAGAACAATATTTTCTGGCAATTAAAGGAAGCCACAGGAGGTAGTTGTCTCGTTTCCAACGAGGGAATGTTGATTTAAAAGACGCAACGGAAAGGGTTGCTTAAAAACCCTGATGTTGTGGAAGGTAAAAATCGGTGTGCGTCAAATGAATGGGACCAGAGAGGTTTCAGTGGCTGGAAAATGGGTCCATGTGAACTATCTCCAGAGGATCTGGGACGGCGTGTAGTTTTTTTTTGAATCACTGCTTCTTGACGCCGTCTAACAACCGACGGGAATATTGCCTGTCGAACGGTCAAATACCTACCCCGGCCGAATTCGCCTTTTGAAAGCAGCTCTGAATCAAGACGAGCCCGCCAACTCATTCGCCTTGCTGAAGACATGTCATGTCCTATTTAAAAATGTCCTAGCAATTAAGTTGACCCTTAGAGAAGGACCCCACATAGACGCAATGCTTCACAACCGGTCAATCAGTTCAGGAACATCTGCTGTGGCCAAAAGCAGTTTTGATTTAAACGCGATCCTCATAGGTGGACAGAAAAATATGTCGTCTTCCATCACGCTACTGCTCGACACACCAAGCATGTCTGGGGAGCGAACGGCTGGGATATATTGCCTCACACTCTAATTATCATTTTTCTGGGCAATTCAGAATCATGCGGACACTCTTAGGTTGACATTTGTATCCCTTTTGCACGAAGCAAGCTTTGATATAGTGACACGTGGCTTTTCTCCGTATGGCCTAGATTACCAATTAATGTCGTAGTGTTCGTGATCAGCAAGTCAATTCACGTTCCCATTGGTTGACAGAAAGGGTCAGCATACCAAACTGTCCGAATTTTGATTGGCTGATTTTGCTGCTTAAAGTGATCACCTACTTTGCGAAAGACAGAATCATTTAGAAAATAGTCGATCTCCCGTCGTTTTGCAGAAATCTTTGATGTTAGTTTAAAGCCTACAGAAGTCTAAATGTCACATTTTCCACTTTTCGACGCAAAATCAAATTTGACGAAGCGTTAAAACAGAACACAGAAAAGGATAGATGCTCATAAAAGACGGTTTTCCAAGACAACAACAATTGAATCTTGAACTTACGATGGCGTTCAAGAACACTCGGTTTAGACACACAGCATGTCTGGGGAAGGCATATCATCTCGCAACCGAAAATGGCGAATAATTTGATCGAGAATTGAGTTGACTCCTAAGAAACTACTTCGCCTAGACGTTCAAATGTTTACAACGACTTCACTGTAGCGACGATTTTTAAATTCAACGAGAAAGTTGAGCCCGATCGTGGATCACACTCTAATCGTGGGGCTGAAGTTGCACTCGTGTTAAATTGAGCACAGTTAACTCCTGTCCCCAGTTATCAGGCTGTTGTCAAAACTACCAGCGAGTGGATTCCCATTGTCAAGTGATCGGTAGTTCGGTGCCTTCAACGGAGATGGACTTGCTGAAACAGCAACTTCTGTCCCGAAAACGTTTTCATTCCAACCTCACGAACAGTAAAAACCGATTTCAACAGACTGCTACCTCGAAGTCTTTATAAACCATGTCCATGGCAATCGTAGTTCTTGTGACTAATAATTGTAGGTTCTCCATGTAAACTGTCCATAAAATTCCAACATTAGTGAGTGCCCTATGTTGTGCTGGCCCCATTACTGCTCGCTGTCTGCACAGTAACACGATTTCACTAACTGAGGATGACTTTAACGCGAGCGCAAGGCGGTAAATCTTGCTTTTTCGTAACTCCTTGGTAGCAATTAGACGTAATTTATGTGCTCTCACTTTGGAAAGAATTTTCCCGCTAAATTAACGCTGCCTACTGGAAGAGTTTGGTTTCCGAAAATCGCACACTATTTCCCTTTTCCCAATATTAGTTGAATTTAGTAGAGTCGGCATATTAAATTTGAAAAGCTGGCAGTGAAAAATGGTAGCTCTTTTGGGTTTTATGTGACACTCAACTAACCCATTGTGTGTGATCTTGAAATGGAAGCATATTTTTGGTGGTTCACGATACTTGGAGACGTAAAAACAAGCGTTGGATCATCGCAGGTATTTTGACACGGAGGAATTTGGAGCCTGAACAAACCAGTCTACACTGAGGGGGTTACGTTTGCCCGTAGCCATGAGAAAACCACTCAGATAACGGTACCAGATCACTTATTGACGCTAGAATCAACCTTACCAACACACTGAGAATTGGTGACAGGGCCACCTTCAACAGGATTTAACTGTGCCAGGTAAACCAGAAGTACAATTTCAACCTCGCGAATTCAATGTGCTTCCCACGTCGTGGATAATTTTCTTGTTCCACTTTTTAATCGTCAAAACAGTAAAATCGCACGAATGCCATTTCCGATTGTGATCTCCTTAGGCACCTACGTCATTCTCCAGCGTTCAACTCCGGATCGGATCAAATTGCGAGACATGTCTGGTTAAGAGGTCAGGTGTCTTACTGTTCGAAAAACCAAATCAGAAAATAGGCTTTGTATCGTGAATAGCTTATGTCTTGAGTTTCATTGTGAGGTCAAACGTCACGTCGCGCTTCACCTAAATTTACAACATCCGCAATGCGTGTTTTGTCTATTTGTGGGGGTGCATCTTTTGCTCTATATCGATAACCCGTAATATCTCCACCAGCCAATCACGACATTGTCTTCACAAATTTATCGATCTGCTATCTCAAATTACAGCTGGCGGGTGTGGCGCTGGTAGTGGCAGGGTCGTGGGCAGTCTTCAACATCTCCTCGTTCTTGAAGGCGTCGGCTTTCGCACTGGACGCCGACTTCGCCAACCACGAACTCTGCCACAACGCCGAGTTCACCCAGACACTGGCCTACGTCTGCATCGGCTTCGGCCTATTCGTCTTTATGGTAGCATTCTTCGGCTGCTGTGGTGTTGTCACCGACAGCTACTGTCTCCTCATTACGGTGGGTTTCTACGCCTTCCATTTTGAATGTTAATTTAGGCCTTAACGCCTTAGTCATAAACTCGCACACCTCAGTGATTGGGCAATTTTATTTCTCAGCCTGAGGATTGCAATAATGGTAGTCTTGGCAATCAGTTTGCGCCAATTCGCTTAATGCTAACTTTATGTTTGCGTCACGTTGACTTCGCGCCATAAAGTTTGCGGATTTTAAACAAAGGCGTTTCATACTTTGTCCCAGGAGAGCAAAACATCTTCGATTGTGCCTGTATGTTAAAAAAAGGACATTTTTGTAAACATCTATTTGATTCCAGGCATTCTCGGAAAACGTAGATAGTAGACCAATGAAATTCGCGCGTCAAATTGAACTCGATGTCAGTTTTGGCGCAAAATCGATTTTCACGTGAGCGGTGTCGCTCTTAATCGATTAATGTAGAATCACAGCTCTCCTGGATCAGTGCAATTTGTTATGAACCCTGATTGTTGACATGACGTCTATTTTCACCAAAGATTGCGATTAGTAGGAAATTTGAACAACCGGTGCGTAGTAAAACTGCATGCCATTAAACCCAGAAACCCGTTAGTGGACTTTGCACCGGAAGTCAATCTCGCACAAGCCCACCCACACGACAAGCCACAATTTTCTGAGCGTTGTTGAACCCAGTTGTCACTGCTTTTGCCACTTTTAGTACGCTGTCATCGTCAGCTTGCTCTTCTTGGCCAAGGTCGTCTCTGTCCTCGTTTTCCTCCTGCTGGGTGACAAGGTAGTCTTCAAATCGATCGGTTCTACCACTGTGATTTTTAATCGTAGAGCAAAAACTTGTGCAGAAAAAGTACATCTAGCTTACAGACAACATATGTTGTTGCGTCTGTTAATCAAGAACGTTTGACGTTTTTTCTTTGATTGGTTGGCCTTAGGAAACTACGAATCGAAAAAAAACTGCCTTAAAGTCAGCGTTGTTTTGTGATTGACTAAGCCACGTAGCTAAACCGGAGCGTCCTGGTTTTTGTTTAAATCGATAGTAAATTTAAACAAGAGCTATTCAACACGAGATGTCTTGATGCTGCACCATTACTTTCGCCAAGTTGGTCTGAAGTGTTAATTTAATTAACTATTACCAAAAGCTCAGATTCACGGATGGTTGAGATAAAACGTGTTGTTTGAGTGTGAGATTGCAGCATTTTAGCGCGATGTTCACATGGAAACCCGTCCTTTTTGGATTCATCTAGTGTTTTTTTTTTGAAATTTTACAGCACATCCACACACCCACCATGCTCCTCTCACGCATTAATCGTCTCTTCACAATTTCGACTTTGACCTTGAACAAAGCCCATCAACCAATCAGAATCAAGATTGGAATTTTATAGCAAGAAAGTGCCCTAATGACACAGAAATATCAATAATTTAGTAAATGTGTGATGCATGATCCTAAAAACGTAGACACTAGAGCGGCAAATCAATAAACGGCATTGGTGTGACCCCAAGTAATATATATCTTCGTATCTCGCAAGATATCCCCAATCGTTGTGGAGAAAATGCTGGAAAATTTCTCGGCCAACTACAAAGGATACCTGGGAATCACTAATCACGGCGATTCAATGACGTACTCCCAAGCAATGGACACGGCTATGATAAAAGTAAGTGAGTACTACCGCGCGGTGACTTCTAGCTCGAATGCTGCGGTTTGTACGGTCCCCAGGACTTCGAGCAAGTCGAGACCTCGGCGCTATGGCACAAGGAGGGTCGAACCTACGTCGATTCAACGGGCCAAACAATCGTTGGTGATGCCATCGGCTTGCCCATTGCGTGTTGTCAATTCCGCAATCGAAATTTTCCAATGAACTGTGCGTTCGTAAAACAAAACCGCTACTTTAAATTAATCAGTAGCTATTATAATTGGTGGCTGTCCTTCTTTTAGCTACGTACGCCCAAATGCACCGGAACATGAAAAGTGCTCAATGCCCAGTAAAACCAATCTCAGCCTACAACAAAAGAGGATGCATCGAGGTGGTCTCCTCCGCCCTGAGACAATACACCGTCGTGATTGCTGTCACGCCTGTGATAATCGCGGTTATCGAGGTTGTTGGTGTCATTCTGGCGAGCGCACTTGCTCACGAGGTAAAACAGGATGTGGACCAGATGTACTACTAGCCACAGAGTCAACTTTCACGTCACCGTTTGTGCCAGAGTGCCTTACCCTGCTCCGAGATCGCTACCAATACAACACTCATTTACATTTTTACTACACACCCCATGTACACATGAATTGCTGATCTGAGAATTTGGTAAAAATGGTGGAACTTGCCTACGTGACTTCACTTTTAGAAAAATAGGAGCGCTTGTTCCATTTGTGGAAGCCCTGTCTTTGTCCCAACATTAGAAAATGAAGAATAAGGCGATTTAGGGAATCGGTCGGTGACCGAGATACTCAGTAACTGGAATGAAATACAAAAATTGCAGATCAGACAAGAAAGATCTCACAAGGTGTCATCTGGTGGGTGAATGAGGTTAGTAAGTATATCACAAAGAACTTTCCTTTGGGCGTAATCGACATACGGTTGTAGAAGGGTGGCTGTCAACTCAAAGCCATTGACATCTTCCAACTGATATGACATCTATCGACGGCAAAAATGAAGTCTTCCATACGCGAACTTACAACAAGGGATCTGAGGAGAAGGACTAAGTCACGATCCATATAATCGATGACAGAGGTTTTAGCCGATTCCTTGGCATCATCAGTGTACGCGAGGAGAGACAACTGACCATCACCCACAAGTTCCTCGGATTTCGGGGGCTAAAAACCAGTTAGGCAGCTTGGTGGACTAACCAAAACTGTCAGAACGAGGAGTACTCGAAACACCTCGATTCGGTGCAGATCATCGAGAAATAGCTCAATCTCATAACCATGGGTTTCTAAGACCAAAATTGTCAAAATTAAAGCACAAACCACACGCGTCTTGAATTAGCGTTTGCATCTTAAGTATGGTATTGAGGGCGCCGGGATAATCACCTAAAAGTCTGTGAAAAAACGCGAATTCTTACGCGTAAATAACTGGCATTTCATGCACTTGAAAAGGACGTGCATTGAACGCGGTGCATCACGACAGAAAATGTCTGCGGCGTGACTAAGTACTGCAATAGCTTCTGAGAAACGCTCGAATTTCTTTAAACACTTAAACTAAATGCGTTAGTAAGGTACCATTAAATTGTCGCCAACGTAAATGTAGCAACTAGCAGCAGATGTGAGTAATTCTATGGACTCGAAAATCTAAAGCGGTTAAGCGTGGAGAGAGGAACCTTTGCAGCTTTGAGACAACAGGAGGTAAAGCACTCGAGAAATTCGCCTACTGAAAACGCACTTGTGATTTGAAGATTTTCTTCTGCTTTTAAAAAGAGACGACCGGCTTCCATTAAGGCAGAGGCCTCACCGGGATAATTATGGACATTGGCTTCGCACCTGGAAATAAAATTACAAAATTTCTTCGTACCTCGCTTTTCCGAGAGTAAATATGGCAGCGTACTCAAAACTATCCTCAGCGGCTAGTGTTTTAGCAAGGTAAGCTAATGCAATTGATTGAGAAAAATGTGAAGACGAATCTACCGAAATCATCCCTAGCTTCAACAACATTTGGCTTTCGAAATATTTTCCTAATTGTTACACATTAATAGGTGATCTACTTTCGGAGTTTTGCTGAAAAATCCTTATACAAATTAGCATAATCAACAGAGGGATTCATTGGCCGACCATTTAACCACTTAGGTTAGATTAACCAAGACTGAAAGGCTTTTAAGAGTAACCAATTACGACATGGGGAGTAATTATGACTACAAACACAATAACCGCAGAAAACAGACTAAAAGTAAAAGTTAGTAAGAGTATCTTTAGGCATATTTGTGCCATTTATACATCATAAGCAGGCATTAAATAAATCACGAAAACTGTGGTCTTAGTCGAGATGATTTGTTAGGAAAAGAGATAGCGTTAAACTCGTCAGGATAAGCTAAAAAATCAAAGCACATCGGAAAATGTTAATTTAAGGATGTAATCAGGATGATGGCAAAAATAATGCCGGATTCATAAAAATGGTTCATTAAATCAGAAACATTAAACTAAGGTTAATCTTCATAAACACTTCATGCCAATGGTTCTACTATGACTGGTTATCTTTATACACATTACCTCGAAGAATTTTTGCCAAATCATTTCTTAATAGAGATCCGACTGTGACAGTATGATCAGTAAGACATTATTACAACATACATTCGTTTCCAGGCACGTAAGTGTAAAGAATAGAAAACGAAAAACTTAAATTCCATTAAGCATGAACATTGAAATCAAACGAAAGATAGCGGTACATAGTGCGCGTCGAATATCGAATGGAGCACAAAAAATTAGAACAAACCGTTTGAATGTTGTCAATGGCAGAAATGAAACAAGAATCGTGATTTTAACCAAAAAAGATTATATGTAATACCCTTCATCTTTTTGGGTACAACAGGAAAGGTTTTTTCAAGAGGATGTAGTCACAACGTCAAGTTTTTACTCCAAATAACCTGTTGATTAAGTTGCTTTTAGAAACAGTGTGTTTGACTAATGCTGTTAGGAATGTTTTCTAATGTGTATGTATCAAATTAAGTGACCCATTAAGTGTTTTAGTGGTTAGTGCTATGACGACGGCTCTCACTACCTTTTTAAAATTAGTTTAGTACATCATATGTTTTGTCTATGTTCTTGTCATGCTAAACATTAAACCATTATTAGAATTCAAGCTAAGCGCAATGATTTTGTAAAATATTTGATGATTTAATTTGGGAACCTTGTCTAGACTTGTGCTCAAATTAACTGTGACTATTTAATTGCCAAAGTGAAAGAAAAGAATCACTTTTTTAATGGCGCTAGACTGATCGCATATATTGCCGTTGTAATGGTTTGCACTGCACCTGCTAATTAATTATTTGGGTCTCAAAAATATTTGAATATTAACATATTTTGTTTTTGGACTTTATTTCTTGGTAGAACTTCAGTACTTCATGATGTTGTATGCTAATTTTTGCAAACTTAACGCGCTTATTATCCTAATACTGTTTCTAACGAGACAAATGCATTGGTCTGTAGTATTTTTTTGAGCAATATCATCTGAAGGGATCACAGTGATCGTTGCAAAATCTGTCCCAAATGGCGAATTGAATGTTGGCGTTGGTATCTTTGTTTCAACGTTAGGCAACATGGTAGTTTTGGAGGTCAAGTTTCATTATTTTTTGGCTTTGCAACATGCATTAATAGCCATATTAAAAGTATAAAATTGCCCTCTGCTAATAAAGTCATTTGTCCTTTACTTAGTCCGAATTTACATTTGACTTTTTAATAAATTTAGTTCCAGAGCATATTCTTAAACTATTTAGCTATGTCTGCCCCGTTTTCAAATACGCGTTTGCGTGTGCCACCTGGATTTGCAAATATCCTGTGGTGTTTCTCTCGAGAAGTTTTACGACTTCAGCCTACCGACATTCTTAAATTTGGCATGGAATACTTCGACTACTTGCTCCGCCTGCGGTTGGGTATGAAAATGTGTAATTCAGCAATATACTTTAACAGAAACTGGTGAAGAAGATGTTGCGAAACTCGGAGTTATGCTTGATGACAGATACTACAACAACCGTTCGTATATGGTAGGTTTGTCCCCATAGGTGCCAAGAGTTGGCTAAGAAAATAATCTATTTTGCCAATTGCATTCCTTAACCGACTTGTAATTAAATCCGTGCCAAACATACGGCTAGCCACACTAAAGTCTACATTAGTCATCAGAAATTTTTTTATAAAAATCAAGATGTCATGCTAAAGTCCTTTAATTCTTGCTTTAGATGTCAACACCCTGTCCTCACCCAAAGAGAGATAGGCCACGCCCGGATTACCTTGAAGGCTGCAATCCTTAAAAATTATTAAATTGCTGATTTGTTTCTTGGCAATTATACCACGAACAGATGACTATAGGACGGTAATATATAAAAAAAATTTACAATCCCCTTCTAATTTGTTTCCCTCGTTACTACGTTCTGACTGGTTGGATACGCTGTTTTAAATGCCTATGGATTAGAGGTTTACCATAATAGTGCTTCCAAGTAATCTCAGTTTTGCCGCAGTCGATGTTGCACTCTTTGATATTAGTTGGAATAACCGTGGTTCGACTCCACATTGATTGGTTAGTGCTACAATCAGCAACAAAGTGATTGGCGCATTTGCAACCAATCAGACTTAGGTAGTTTTGTTGAAATCATTTTCTTAATAGATAAAATTGAAGATTAGTAAGAACGCAATTTAAATGTTAAATGTATTAAATGTATTTAAAATGCAATCAGCCTTAACTGGATTTAGACCATGAAAACTCTCTCACGGTTATGCAGCTGCTAGCGACAACAAACTGGATACATTCGCGTACGCGTGTTTGGAATTATTGCAGCATTTAACTATTAGGAAATTAAAACATTCGATGCTCAACAGGCATAACTGTTTGTTGAAATAGCGTAAAAGTCAGTATCTAGTTCATTACTTTCAAAAAAAGAAGCCGTCTATCTTTTTGGAAAGTCGTGCGTTTTGACCAACAATTTCGTGTTAGTAACCACAAAAAAAACAAGATGCGCCCAATTCACCTCGCACTAATTCTACTGTCACCTAGGCAACCATTTTAGTGAATGTTTTGCTTCTTCAGACCTCTAATTAGAGTTTCAGCTTCCTGCTGAGTAAAAAATTAAAAACACCTTCGTCAGCACTCGCCTCAAGTTACACCCGTACATCGGACGAATTTGGGCATTCATTGCGCGCACACACGGTGACCACAACTCACTTTGCTATTGATTTTTACCGTTATCGATTTGGTGACTGTTTGTGACCAATCCGTGCGCTTGGCGGAGCAAATCTAGTTAATTAAAACAAAAGTATTTCCATAGTTGTTCATGACTAATGCAATCTGCTTAGTGGGCTTAAAAGCAAGCGACCAAAAATTCAGCATATCTCGATGCAAGCTGTACACACACACGCACGCACACACGTAAGTTATGACACAGTTAATAATTTAAACGCAACCACAAATTCCTTGTAACTACTAGTAATTGCGTCCTTTGAAGTAAACCACTTTGAGTCCGCTGAGCTGGTGTTTTAAGCGACAAACAAAATAAAACAAGAGCTAATAATTTGTGAGATGTCACGGGCGAGTTTAGGTGTCAGATTCTGGGCGAAGTTGTTGTGGTCCAAAACTGTTTCAGATAACCAATGTGACAAAAGCTGTGTTTATGACGTCTTTCCTAATTTTTCCATGTTATCCTCTCGTGATTGTTATCATTATCGTTGTTTATTTAGCAACTGACGTAAAGCGTCTCTATTAACCATGAAATTACTTAAATTTATTTTGCTCCTGACTAAAATCTTCTAGGAAATACGAAATTAAACCATAATTTGCCTAAATTGCGTCATTTGGGACATGATCGTCACAAATTTACTTCAACACATATTTAAGCATATGTGAATACTGCTCCGATTCATAATCACAATCGAAGCAACAAAATAAATCAAAATGGACACCAGTAAACATTATGCCTGTTCTCTTTCCCGTTCATTTCACCTTTCAACCGGTGCTTTCCGCTAGAGGTCTCTAGCGAATGTGTGTAATCCAAGACGTCGTCCAAAATACACTGATTTGGCATCAAATCATCCTTGAACTAACTAGAGCTCTGCTAATTTCTAAAAATTCTCTGCGAAATGCCCCGTTTTCCTTTAAATTTTGCCATTTAAATGAATTTCCTCTGACGCTATATTTTAACTTCGTGAGAAGCACGCAGTAAAATAGCCCATCACGTTAAAATCTGAAAAAAATGTGGTTAAGTATATCAAAATGACGTTCTTTTATTCACCACATTAATTCCTAATTCGTGCATATGTAATTTTTCATAACCGATTGATATGCAAACCAGATTGGTCCCAGGTTCAATCTCATTGGCCGACTGAACAGCCAATTAGATTTGAGCAGTGAACTGAAATTTGATTCGCATTTCTTAATTTCCTCCCAAATTTGACTAACTAAATTTTACCACGAAGTTGGCGAGGCTTTTAGCTATGGAAAACTGTCACAAGGTTAGTGGCATATCCTTCACCTGTGATTTTCCTTTCTAAAAAAAACTTTCTTTCACACCAAATTGGGTAACTAAATGTTAAAAGATAACAATGTTTTTACACAAAACTAATTAATTTATCCTTATATATTGATTTTAAAGGTACGTCGTGACAAATTTCGCCAATTTATTTTGAGTGGTTTAACTTTAGGCCCCAGAAACCGAGGAGGCAATCGATATCGACTTGAATGACCCTGAGGTCGAAAAAGCCGCCGTCAAAATTCAGGCGCAGTTTTCGAAACTCAAAAAAGCCAAGCAAACGAAACCGTGTGTGGAGGTAAGTTTTATGTCAGTGCTTTAAAATATATAGCACAACTATTACCGAGACACTCTACGACACATCACTGCAGCTTAGTGAAAATGTCCGCAGTATACAATTTGTTGTAGATTTTAAAAACTGGTGGATGTGACCTTGAAAAATACACATATTTGAAAAGCGAATTTGTAGATGCAGTGTTTTAAGTAGACGGTCGAGTTAACTCCGTAGTACCTCCCAAAGAATCAGAATAATAGTAGACGTTCTAAGTAGCATGCAGCTAGTAGTATATGCTTAGCTCGGTTTGAAATGCGGGAATTAACTCTGTGTAATTACTGTAGGCCTCTGAACCTTCAGAAGAAAATTAGCGTAAGTGCCTTGCTTTTGGAGCTATTTACACCGAAAGCCATATTTAATTAGCAAATTTTGTTTGGTTTTCTTGTTGAAAAAAAGGCAAAATTCTGTCTCTTGTAGACAACCACCGCTACCTCCTCTTAGCATGGATCATGTTTCTTGCGAACGCCTGCATGTTCATTTTAGCACCTAAGAAATCGTGTTTTTGTCGTAAAAATCCACCTTAAATGTCAAATTATGTCGCAAAACCTACTATATAATAAAATTTGTTTTTTTAGAAAGAAAAAGTTTATTTGACAATGTGGTTAGCCGTGGGAACCCATTAAATTTTAATTTGACTCACTGTTTCTGCATTCACTTGACACCCCAGGGAATAGATTTAAACGAAGTACTTGTTTCTAGTTGAATTGCATCTTTCTAGTGGGTGCAACAGCATGAAAATTCCTTCTCGTTGGGTGAATTAGAACATTTAATTAAGAAAATTACAAACAAAGCTACGGTCACTGTTTGGGTGCCACTTTGGGCCAATGAGATTAGTGCGCGGTCAGTTTGAAAAGTGTAAAATGGTGTGCACGGCAGACCATTCATGGAGCATTGAGTTCTGGTAAATGCTGATATGTAATGCAGCAGATACGGCATGCCAAATTATGTGTTAGCCCTAGTTTGTTTAAATCGACAAAGATTATTGAGTAGGTGCACAAAGGGGGAGGTAAATTGTCCTTTTATCAAAGTAGCTAGGGTGTGGTTGTGTTGTCCGTAAGTTTTTCTTGTGAGTTGAATAGTTTGATGGGTTTTCGAGGGCCGAGGGTTACGTTACCATGTCAGTTGCGCCCAACATCGGACAAATAGGTCCCTGGCACACTGATTGGTCTAAAAAGTAATCAATTTAAACAAACAATTGGTAAACTTATTGCTCACAAAATCAGCAGTTACAGGAAGGCAAGAAATGCGGAGTTTGAAAAAATCGAAAAATCAACTTTAAAAAATATGAACTTCAAAAGGTTGAATCTATTTTCTTTGAGAAAAATATTTGTGAACACACTTAAGGTGGCATCAGATAAGAATGCTACTTCGTAGAAGCTTGTGGGGCTTTAGCAACACCGTCAACAACGAATTGTACTACTTTCGGTGAGTTGCCATGGCAACACGTTGTCGAGACATCGCCCATCCTGCCTGCCAACTTAGAACGTTTCCTGTTTACTGTGTCTTCAAACACAACCTTCCAAAAGTGGCTTTTCAAGTTGGAATAATTTGTGTAGAAAATGTTTTTGTTTTTTAACTCTAGGGCGATTTTTTAAACTGTGCTAAAAATGGCGGGCGAATCGTGACCTGACCTTGGTAGATGCGCTCTCATGGAGCCAATCATACACGACTTACTGGTTAGAGTAATTATAACCTGAATGTGCACTTACAGAATATGTACGTTACCGTCATTTCTGAGCCATATCGATTCGCCGCCATGCAGGTGTAATTGCCGTAGTCACTTTCTCGAATGTTCTTCACTTTCAGCAGGGAAATCACGTCAGTTACCTAGATACACGCAAATTAAGACGAATATTATTTGTTCTAAAAATTATATGCTACTTAAATCAATTCATCGACACCAGGTTCATCCAATTTGGATTATTGATTGCGAAATTTATCGATTTTTTCCCGCAAAATCGAACCCACATTAGTTCCGACAGCTCCGTAACTTCGCGTTTTCTCCAATTCGTACTTGGCACTGTCGTAAAGCGGAATGTTGTTGATCTTGGGGTCGTAGATGCCCTTGAACCATAGCAGATCGGGATCAGGATAACCGTTCACGATGCACTCCATTATAACGTCGTAGTTGCTGTCGCTTTTCTAGGGAAAGAGGTGGCACATGTTGCCTTTCAGCCTTCTTCAATGAAAAAAATCGCATTTCCGTGTTTAATTTACCAAATTAATCAAATTTTCGACGACTCCCGTGCCATGTAATTCAGCGGAATCAAACAATAATATGTTAGGGTGATTAGCTATCTGCGCGAAGGTGATTGGTCGGACAGCTCACGGTGATTGGTCAGAAATAAATGACCTTTTATTTGGGTTCGAATGCTCATTGGATAAGGAGATGATGGCACAACGATCCAACCTACCTGACCGTAGGCGCCCTTGTAACGTGCCAATCGAATTTGTGGTTTGTAATTGACCTCCAGCATCACATCGTACTCTGTTGAGCCATAAACGTTATTTGCAGCATGACAACGGTAGATGCCTCTGTCGAAACGGTTAACCTTCGGTATGTGCAACGTCTCGTTCTAAGGAAAAAAAATCAATTAATCGAATTAATTCACTTCGAAATGTAGAATAGCCCGGCACTGAATGGTGTCACGTCATCGCACGGTCGATATTCAAACACGCGCCGCAGAATTTCGCGCATTTAAACAACGGCGCTGGTTTAAATACTAAACTAAATCCGTCTGCCTCAGCAAATTACACCGTCAAATGCGTCACTTTCACATTCAATTCAATACTATTTGAAGTTTTCGGGTTTACAATGCTCAGAACCGGGACTTCTGTCGTGATAAGTACTAGTTACTTATTTCATAATAGTAGTCTTACTTACGTAAATTCTCTGAGGTGATCCGGGAAGATTGAGTGGTCGGCCGTTGGCTCTAGTCCAGCTGACACGCGGCGCAGCCGAGCCTTGGGCCTTGCACACCCACGTGAGAGAGTCACCTTCATCGACTATCTTTGATGCAAGTCCTGGAAGGATTATTGGCGCCTGCGTGACGATCAAGTCCCCGTACGCCTCTGGCCACAAGTGTCGTGGCAGTGATTCTAACAAGGCACAAACTCTGGACCAACTGCTCAGTGCAAACCAATAAGATGCATGACCTTGACAGACTTACTGATCTCAAGGACGCAGCGGTATCTCCCATTATCCGTAATGTCTGCAAATCGTACCTCTAGCTGGTAGGTCTGTAGACGGTCAACGTTCACACCAGGCATGTTTGGAGCGAAATCGGGTCGACCAGGGAAGAACCGAGCCTGGTATTTCTCCATACCGTACAGGCCAATTCGAACAGGTTCTAGAAGTTTCGTCCCAATGCTTATTTGCTTGTCCCCGTAATACCAACTTGCTTGCTGAAATTTTAAAAAAAAGTAATCAACGTTGTGTCGAAAAAAATTCATCACTTCTGTTTTCATCCAGATTGCAATCTGAAGTAAATCATTTATCCCAGGGAGTACATTAAATTTTGTCATTCAACTCCCAGCAACCAAATTGAAGCCCTCATTTTTGAACTTGAGTCAAGATTGATGAAATTTTATACTTTGGTTATTTAATGCAAAATGTAACAAAATCTTTAATTGCACCTGTTTTCGACAAACTGTTTTAACACTTATTAAGCAAGAATTACTTAAGAACGTCTACAATCAAAGCCAAATTACAAATGTGACCCAGTGAATTGTCATTATTTAAATGTTGGTACAATTTTGATGCATTGACCACATAATTTATTTTGCGAAAAGGTCATTCGTCATAACCAAATTTTAAGCGTAGAAAAGCATGCAAAAAGAGTATCAAAAAAATTCTACTAGTTGCAATAGCCGAAACTGGCTAGAGTATTTATGATATTTGATTAAAAATACTGTTCGTTTTTAAGAGCAAAACAAATTACGCCAAACCCCAGTGCAGAAATTATACAATCCGATGTCAATTAGCAACCCTGTGCATAATCGTAGGGCCAGGTTCAATAGATACAATATTTTGAGGTATAATAAGAATTTAGGAACTATATTAAAATAATTTGTATTGGTATGATTATACCAAAAATAAAAAAGACTGCAGCAAATATTACTTACATTCATTTGGGACTCCTCCAAAACCATTGTGCAATTTAAATAACCCGTGTTTTTTTCTTGAACTACTTCGACATTTATGGAGTCAACCACCTGTGGTATAAACTGGTTAACGCCATTACCTTAAAACTACAAGAACATTAAGTTGTATACCTGCATAAGTGGCTGCTACAGACAAAATTATCAGGCCGATGACCCGCATTGGGTCGACCTTGAAGTTAATTGATGCGGTATTTATAAAAAAATAAAACTAACTCCACAGTTATTTAATGAAAATTTGGCAATAAAAGCGACACTTAAGAAATTGCGTTCTAATTGAAAAGCGCGATTTTAGCGTACCGTGTTTTATGAAGTAAATTTCAGGGATTCCTGAAATTGACCACCGTTAAATGATACTAACCCATTGATTCAATGAATTTTAAATTAAATTATTTAGCCTTGTTTAAGGAATATAAACATTCTCCAATTTAACGTAAACAACAAAAATGTTTTAAAAACAGACTAAATGAGCTAAGAATTTGCGTTTTATAGTACTGAAGATAAATTTTTCAAAAAATGTTACAATCATTCTGTATTGTCAGTTAACGATTAAACTAATTATTTCTAATAAATTGGTCTTTTGAGGCTAAATCTCTTGCATTTATGTCTTTTTTCTAATTTGCCTGTTTTTCTTGTTACATTTTCATATATTTTTTCAGGTTTTTCTCGAATTGTTAAAACTTGACTTGCAATGGTAATATCATAATGTTTTTGTTTTTATATTGTGAATTTTTCTACACTTGGAACTTGCATTTTGCCTTAACTGAGTATTTATTCAAATTTTTATTATGATATACCAGTTGTTTTAGCATGGACATTCAACTCAATTATCGATTCTGTGGGGAAAAATAATATTGTACAGCCCCTCTTCATCTCATCACACTTTAAATAATGTTATGAGGTTTTGGTAGATGTAATCATAAAAACAATTTTTTATTGCTGTGCATGCAAAATGGTAAATATATTTTACCTGAATGATAAATCCATTCATATTTGTATTTTCTAGTTTGGATTACGATCTTTACGGTTTTTTGGAAAAATCAGATACAAGTTTACTGAACATTTTGTAATACCTTACGCCAATTTGTGATAATGTCTCCTTTAGGGTTCACAAATGCCATGTTTTAAAGATTATTTTAATATCTACTCCGGGATTTTTACATTGTTCTCTAAATTTTAATAAAAAATTATTTTTTTGATAGACGAAAAATAAAAAGTTAATTTCGGTAGCTTTTCGTGATACCTAGCAATAAATGGAAAGATTCACTAACTATAAATCGCTGAGGAATCCAAATCATTTTACCAGATATAAGTTGACTCATTATCGGAAACTTTTCTCTACTTGTATTCAGTGAACACCATAAACTACCTGCCAATTATGAGCACTCTGCTGTTTACTGTGATGAATTCCATTGATGCATATGTTCTCTTGTCATGAAACTTATAATAATATGTCGATTAATTATTTACGCTGGGTTCTTATGCACTTGATTCTGGTAATTTTCCTAACGAACAAAGCGGCACTAAAATTTTATGTTAATGTATAATTCCATGCGTCTGGTCTCGCAATTTAATTTTTTTTAAATCATTTGTTTGTCTCGATGCAGTTCAAAATCAGTATTATTCATTTTTCGAAATGCTTTCTTAACGTAGTTGCTTGACCAGACGAAAGCCCATTTGTAACTGATATTTGACTGAGTGTCAATCAAGAATTTATAGCGACCAATTCTGGTATTTTTTTCCCCTTTTAAAGGCTGAATTTAAGTGATTAATTACCTTCGAGGTACCATCACTATTTTACGATTTACATTTCCCACAAATTTAGTGCTGGCACAAGCATTTTGTCAATGATTTGATTAACACATCTACCAGTGGGAACAACTTGAATCCAATTGCCATAAGTTAGTGATCTTAATTTCACAGTAACCCAAGAGAATATCCACACCATTTTTTACCGTTTATACACATTTTTCAAGTGTTGGAATATGTCTTCTGACTAAATAAGCGGGGGATATTGGAGAACCCATTAGACGTTCGTGTGAAACTATTTTTTGAACCACATTGCACCAAAACGATATCATACACTTATATCCACAGACACATTCTCACACAAAACTTTTGTGGTTTCTTAACGATAAATCAAGGTATGGTTCTTACCGCTGACAGTTTGGAGAGTACCACACGAAATGAGTCATTAATCATTCGTTCTCACCACAAAGCTAACACTTTGATAGCTGCTTTACAATTGTCTAAACGCAACATTCATTGCAGTTGTAGATGTTTTCACTTCTTTTGGAAAGAGTCTTAAAGCTGCAAAAATCGAAAACAGAGTGTGATTTGATCTCTAGCGTATTCTCCGTCGTGTCTTGTGACTTCTACACAGCGGCCTGCAAATTTTTCGAGGCCGCTGAATTCAAAAATAACAGTCTGGAAAATTTAAATTGACAAACCCGTCTTCGGAAATGAAGTGATTCAATGGTTACTCACTTTATGAACGTAGAACTCTGGAACTGGTTTTGGTTAACATGGATTTTCTTACAAAGGAGGGTGCTTTCGACTCTCATCACTAGTGAGGTTAAAATCACCAATCGGGATACTCGAAAATCACGACAAAGCTATCATTTCTGGCCTCGCATTTTCCCTGTACACAGTAGCTCTCTCGTGGACAGTTTTAACGGCTGTACACTTCAGCCCAATTAAATGCGCGATAACGCCTTGCAATCAGGGAAGCCTGGAGTCAGATTTTCGTGGAAGAAGCGGTCGGCGTTATCTTTCTATCCTCACATGGGCCCACCATCCCCGTACAAGATTCATTGAGAATTCAGTATTTAGAGTTTCAGATGAGATGGTTAATTATTGTCCTGCGTCTGTGGATAGACGCACGTAGTTTTCAGAAGCGCAGTACTCTAATTTCGAGTCAAAATATTCACGATTTCACGTTTGATGTGATTCACAATCTGGCTAAATTTACACCGCATGATCAATGCTAGTTCTAACGTGAAAAAAAAATTTTGTGGTCAGTTCTATTGCCTTTTATAAGTACGCAGTGTTTTTAAAATCGGTCTCTAGAAATTTTAAACAAACATGACAATTTGGCGTGCTTAATTTGGGCATGAAAGATCTGCTTTCCCATCGTTACATTTTGATATAGTAAAGAAGACATTGTTCACGGACAAGGGATCGGAAAGTTGATTGGTCGAGGTGATTCTGCATTCACGTCCTCAAGGTCAACCTCATTATCAATTCATTTTTAACCAACGCATTTGTGCCGTGGCGTTAACCCACACAAGCTTTGCAACCATTTAATCTAAGCTTACCGAAGTGTGGAAAATTTTGTGGTTGTGTGATTACAAGTGTTCCCATGATTCACTTACTGAAACAAATCATTGCATGTTTGTAATTTACATTAGAATACAGAAGAGCAGTTAAAATTTTACTCAAAGCAGATAAAATTACCAGTTTAAAGGCCTAGCTTTTAGAAAATTTTAATTTAGCCTTGTGTAATGCAATTTATCCAAAGATGGCTTTTATAGCAGACACGCGAAACTGGTTTGAAGACAAGACTTCCTTGATCAACTCCAGATGTGATGCTTGGAACGATTTCATCACGAGGGATACTTTTTCTTTGAAGTCTGCTGAATAGTCCCCACACAGGCATCATCAGTGTGTAACAGTAGCTGTTTTTTCGTCAGTAGATAGCGAAAGAAGTTCAACTTCTTGTCTGATTGGCTGATCCTAAGGAACCAGCTTCATTTTCAGGCAACATGGTTTTTCCGGCTTCGGGTTTATTTCAGGGATCGAAAATTCTTCTCCCATTTATATTTTAACTGTATACAGTGTACCTGGATGTTATGTTCACTGGGGTTAGCAAAGTCGTTGCCATCAGGTGCTAATTCACACCATGAAAACACACAAAACAGGCGACCTCAAATGTGCACTTTATCCACAATTTAGTCTTTTCTTTCCGAAAGTGCATATTTAAATTCCTTCAGAAATGCCGGTGAAATTGGTTTTCGTCGATCAAGAAGACTTGACCTCAACTGACAAGCATTTCATTTTGCTTTTTGCGAAATTTTAGTACCTTAGTGCTAATTTTCTCGATTAATAACTGCACACTAGCATAGCCACTAACAGTGGCCTGAGATTTTGCAAAAGTTTATTGGATGAACTGCATAAAATGTGCTCAAAATTCCGCAGCCACGTGGACCAATAAGAGGCCGAGATTTTTGGCTGGCTAGGCTCCACACCAAAAGCCATTTGCGCCGCGAGTTTTAATCTTCGCGCTGCCTGCCACGTGCAACGCGCGTGGGTTAAAGCGTGCCACCGTGTGGGGTGATCGTTAGACTTGACGCCCACTCACTCGCTTCCTATTGGCTGCCTCAGTTCGCTAAGGCGCTTCAACGCACCACCACACTGGTAGCCAAGTTTGTTGGAAAAGTTTATTGTATTTTTAGGTCAAATCGCATTTGTTCCTTGCGCCATTGTGGCCTTGGATATTCCTGCCTCGAACAGGTTTCGTTTTTGTAGACCAACACAGAAGCAGTAACATGGCTTTTAGCTAAATTATTACGCGCCATCAGTAAATTCACGGCGCATTTAGAGTAAATACGCATCATTGGCCATAATATGATATCGGAAACCGGTTGACTTATAGTTATAACCAAGTGATGCATACTTAGAGGTGTTATAACACAGTAAATGAAAAATTGGGCAGTTTAAAAAAATAGAGGTAAGTTACGGGCACCGTTGACCAATCAACAACCAATCACAGACCTGGCAGTGTTTAACGACTAAATTTTTTCACGGGAAACTACGACTTAATGTCATGGGGAGTGATTCTGTGTCGAATGTCCACACCGCACCAAAATGCAAAATCAGCCAATTAAATATAGCATTCGTGGTTGTGGTTTGCGCAGCTTCCCTCGAATAGTTTTGTACCTGAATGGCGCACCGACTTACGTTTTCAGAAAGCTGTATTTCGACTAGTACCA